AATCATTTGACTATGTATAAGGGTTATTTCTGGGCTCTCTAGTCTATTCCATTGGCTATTCTTAATTTAGTGGTTCTGGGAATTGCTAAGCAAGCACTCTACCACTTGAGCTATCCCTTTAGTCCTTCACTGGTCTTTATATCTGTCCTTATGCCAGACTCTCTCTGTCTCTCTCTCTCACACACACACACACACACGTCTTTGTATCTGTCCTTATGCCAGACTCTGTTACACACACACACAATTGTGGTAGTAGGCACTAGGGTTTGAACTCAGCCATGCACTCCCTAGGCTAGCAATCTACCACTTGAGTCACTCCAGCTCGTCTCTTTATAGGTAACACATAAGCATCCTTAAACAATATCTTTATGTGCTTTTAAACTTTTATTCTTTGGAATGCTGGGGATCAAGTCCAGGGCCATGTATGGTAAGCAGGCACTCTGTCACCCAGTTACTACCCTGTCTCTTCAATTTTTTATTTGAATCATATAATGCATTATTTTTTAAACTTGCATCCTTTGCTCAAAATTACAAAATTCACCTAGGCCATATAGCTGTAGTTCACATAATATTCTATTGTATAAATACACAATTTGTAGACCCGTTTTACTACAGGATGGTTTTAAGTTTCCAGCTTTTGATAACTATTACAGTGCTGCCATAAACTTTCTATGCATTCTGGTACACAGGTCTAGCAGTTTCCCTAGGGCATATAGCTAGAGTGATGGGTACTCATTTGGTGGGCACACCTGTAGTCAATGTTTATGTGCTTTACCTGTGTTTTGTGTAGTGTATGATTATATAACTGGTATGTTATGAGTAACACTGCTATAGACACTTTCAAAGTCTTTTGGGGGGGCTTATGAACACATTTTCATTGGTGTATACCTATCAATGGAATTTTTTGCTTGTTTGTTTTAAAGAGATACTAGTCTCATGTGTGCTAGGCAGGGTTCTACCACTTGACCTATTCCCCCAGTGCCAAAACTGTTTTCTCTTTCTGGGCTGGGGATTGAACCTAGGGCCTTGAGCATGTAGGCAAGTGGTCTACCACTGAGATACATCCCTAGCCCTTCTTTATCCTTTCCTTTTAGCTATTCTGGTGGATGTGAGGCAATATGACATTCTGACTAATTTTTACCTCCCTGCTAACTAATGAAGATGAGCGGTTTCCACTTTTTAAGTAGACTTGGCCAGACCATTTGTGTTACCAAGACTTTTGCCTTTGTTTCAATTGGTTGTCTCTGCGGTGGTCAGGAAGCAGAGAAAGTGAATACAGGAAGGGTCCAGGGCAAGATATAGTCCCCAAGGACACCCCCAGTGACCTACTTTTTTCATCTAGGCCCCACCTCCTACTTTTCACCATCTCTCAGTAATGCTATATTATGAATTCATCAAGGGGTTAATTCATTTATTAAACCGGAGCCTTCATGATCTAATCCTCTCTGGGGGAGTCAAAGAGTCACTTCCACATTTAGGTTATATAAAAGCCGTGGCCTCAGTCTTGGAGCCACCTGGGTTACTCTGGGAGAATCCTACTCCTGTGGCATGAAGGCACTCAGGTACTATGATGCTTCCAGTAATAGCCAGCAAAGAACTAAGCCCTGCCAACTGCTCTGTAAGCTGGGAAGCAGATTCTGCCTCACCCTATCCTGCAGAAGATGGTACTGCAGCCCTGGCTGACAGTTTGAGTGTAATGTCTTCAGACTTTAAGCCAGAACCACCCACCTAATAACACTTCCTGATGTAGGAACCATAGAGGCTGCAGTCATTATTTTAGGCTGCTGGATTTTGAGGTAATTTGCTACACAGTAATACACAACTTTTTCTTTTCCCAACCATAAACTGTAGTAAATGATAACTTGTTATTAAAGTGAATAAAAAACACATACTTTATTTTTTTTCCATTTGAAATTACTCCCTGTTATAAGACAGATGTATTAAATTTTGGACAATAAAGTCAACAGTGGTCTAGTATGAAAGCATTTGGTCAGGACTGAATTTTCATAATCAACTTTGATTTATTTCAAATTAAGCTTTGACAAAATTTTGATTTTATCACAAAAAGAGCATTACTAGTATTTCTCAATATGATAAAGAATTAACAAGATCATTTAAATTGCTAATAAACCTTAATACCTATTAAGTTAATGGAATGTCCAAATGCTTTTGTAAAAAAATACTTCCCTAAGGTGGGCATGCTGGTACATGCCTGTAAGCCCAGCACTCAGAAAACTGAAGCAGGAGGATCACAAGCTCAAGGCCAGTCTGAGGTATGTGGAAAGACTATTTAAAAAAACAAAAAACATACAACACTCCCCAACTTCCCCAAAGAATGCCCCAAGTTCAAAGATTATTTCTAAAACTGTACTCATATACCACCAAACATACATTATAATTAGTACAGAGGAGACATGGAATATTTCCTGAAGGTGGCAAAATGTTGTAAGCAATAAATTTCCAAGAATTAAAAATATAGCATAAGCTGGGTACCGATGGCTCACTCCTGTAATCCTAGTTACTCAGAGGCAGAGATCAGGAGGATTGCCGTTTAAAGCCAGCCCAGCAAGTAGATCAGAAGACTCTGTCTTGAAAAAATCCTTCACAAAAAAGGGCTGGTGGAGTTGGCTCAAAGTATAGGCCGAGTTCAAATCCCAGTACTAGGAGGTGGGGTGGGGGTGAGAAAAACCACATATATATATATCTATATATCTCCACCATCAGGAGAATATAACTGAATCACATGGAGTTCCCCTTGCACTCAAAATTCCATGTCTAGGGATGGTGATATAGTTCAGTGGTAGAGCACTTGCACAGCACATTTAAGGCCCTGGGTTTGATCCCTAGCACCACAAAAATAAACAATAACAAGACAAAACAACTTCATGCCTACTCCTCTACCTCCTTCCCCAATCTCTAGTGGGAAGGATGGCCTGTGAACTCTGAAAAACTCTCAATGACTACTAATTCAATGTGGGACACTGACCACATGTGTTTGTGGCCTTTAAGACTGTATTACTAATAATTTAAAGAAAAATGTTTAGGACAATTACAAAGAGGAAGAGTGAGATAGCAAAAAAAAAAAAAAAATTTCAAAAAGCTGTTTGTAAAATGGAAAACACATAAAGAAATGAATATGAATTAGCAAAAGTAAGGAACTCTTAAATGGCTACAGAGAAAGATGAATACTAGAAGTGATAAGGAGGAAAATAAAATATTAAAAAACAAAAGAAAACAGAAGTGAGTTATTTAACCCTAAAAAACCCAGAAAGGGATTGGAATTTGAGGCACCATCAGAGTTATGGAAGGAGGAGGGCAGAACATAGGAGAACTGGTTTAAAGTACAAATATAGACTTGGTCTTTCCAGTCCCTTCTGTGGTATTATATGCAACCAGACCCATCACTTCTCAGTTGTGCACAAACTTTTGACCAAATTTCTTACCCCCTCTGAGCATCAACTTCCTTGCTTGTACTGATGGAGTAAGAAAGTATCTACCTCATAGGATTACTATAAAGATTGAGTGAATACCCATCAAGGGCATGGAACATTACCAAACACCTAGTACCTATGAAGATAGTTTATAAATGAGTACCACAGTGGTACTTTGGCTTAGTTTCAAAGCAACCTTGAATGTCACATATAAACACTAAAGACAGTAAAATGGGGTGGGGGCTGAGAAGGAAATGAAGACTGGAAAAAAAAAAGCAGTCAATGTATTGTAGACAGGAGATGTGTCATTTTACAAGAATAATGGCTACACATTGCTTATATAGGAACAATGATTAAAAGTAAAATATATAGGAATACCACATGAGAAGTGTTATTGTGTTATTTAGAAACCTTTAATTTGTGCTATCTGAAAATCATTTATTGCAACAACAAAACTAGAGGTTAATTACTTCTTTATTATTGAATTATATTGTAAAGTCTACATCTACGATTTAATCAGGAAGAAATGCTTTGCATTTACATCAAGGACACATTTACTCTAGTGAAATAAAACAGACAGACAAAAGACCAAGTACATGTTTTTTAAAAAAATGACTACATGTTTTACCTGGTCCTACTTTTGCTATTTTGGACCACACTCTTCCTGTAGAGAACTGACCTTCCATACATGTTAAGTCTGACTTATCTCTCCACATTTTTAAACATTAAATGGAGCTTCTCACAATTTCTAATTATAAACAAAAGATAGAAAATATGGGAAATAGTTGAAAACAAAGGAAGTAAGAGTAAATGGCTGTAACCTCATAGTAGAAAAGTTGAGTAGAACATGGCCCCTCCATGGCTCATTTCAAAGAGACACTTTTACTCAGAGAGGCAAGCACTTCAGATCAGGAGTTTCCCATGTGCGCTGCAGGACTAGACCTACAAGTGTTTCTGGTCTCAACTGAAAAAGTTAAGTGAAAATGTCTACAAGTTATTTAAAAGCTAAATAGCAGAACAGTGCTAATTCAAATCAAATTATGTACTGGATTAAATATATACCTTCAGCTTCCTCCTTTTTAAAAATTATCTTTTTATTCTGGATGATATTAAAAATTATTTACATTTTCAGTGTGCTTTATGGTCAATGACTGTAAAGTTGAAATTGAAATGATTAAGTTTAAAATCTGTATGTTTTACTTGATTCTACTGAAATTTCTATTACCTAAGACTTCACCTAACCAAGTCATACATGAGGTTAAGTTTCAGCTAAAAAAAAAAATCAACTACAAAGATAAAGTTAGCCACTTTAAGAGTACACAGAATCATAATGCCCACTTCACATTTAAAGTTTACAATTTTAAGTATTAGCCTCTGCTTAAATGTAATTTAAAAGCAAATACTTTTTGCATTTTTAAATCAAATTACATCAAGAAACAGGGAAAAAAAAGAACTTGGCAAAATTTGTTTTTGGTAGTGAAGACAATGCGACAATGAATCCAAATGAAACACAAGGCCAGTGCTTAAACTTTCTAATTTCTAAACAAACATGCTCATACACTTTTGTTTGCTTTAATGGAATATTAAATTTATTGAGGTGAAATCACATTATTTTTAGTTCTTCAGTCAGTAAGTATACACAAATGTTTCTCTACAGTTATTAAAAACAGGAGAACAAGTTCAATGTGCCAAAGTGATACCATTCAGATGGATGGTTTAGGGTCATCCTGAAGAAACTTAGAGAAGGGATTTCCTTGGTTGGTTTCCATAGCTTGATAGACCAAAAACAAAAAAACTGCCACAACTATCAACAGCAAAATTTTTATCCACATAGGAATTGAGCGTCGTCCCTTTTTTGTCTTTTTAATTTGACATCTGCCAAGGGAACATACTTAGGAACATATTTAGACGAGAAAGATTCCTCCATCCTGAAATCACCAAGTTCCAATGGCCGGCCTGCAGCCCCTTTGATGGGCCTGCGGCAACTTGCACTGTTGAAAGTGAAAAAAGGAAAAGAAAAGTAATTTTAGTAAAAAAATAGATACAGATAAAATGGTAAAGTCAGTCAACCTAGTTAACATTTCAAAACATTTTTCATTTAAATAAAGTTAGGTCAAAGCCAGGTACTGATGGCTCACTCCTGTAATTATAGGAGCTGGGAGGCTGAGATTGGTAAGATTCCAGTTCCAGGCCAGCTAGGGCAAATAGTTCATGAGACTCATCTTTAAATTAACCAGAGCAAAATGAGCCACGGCAGGGCTCAGGCAATAGAGTGCCTGCTTTTTTCCAAGCGTGAAGCCCTGAGTTCAAGACCCAGTCCCATCAAAAAACAAAAGTTAGGTCTGCCTTTTATTAGAAAATACTCAGTGGCTCATGCCTATATTCCCCAGCTACTTGGGAGGCAGATATCAGCAGTTTAAAGCTAGCCCCAGCAAAAAGGTAATCTTTGTACTATCAATGTATTCTAATAAAAAAAAAAAAAAAAAGTAAAATATAAGGTAGCAAGACCCATCTCAATCAATAAGTCAGGAATGATGGCAGACGCCTATAGTCCCAGCTATGTGAGATGCCATAGGTAGTGGTCTGAGGTTGACTCTGGGCAAAAACGAGAAACCCTATCTTAAAAATAACTAAGCAAAAAAGGGCTGAGGGGTATGGCTCAAGGGGTAGAGGACCTGCCTAGCAAGCTCAATGCCCTGAGTTCAAACCCGTGTTGCCAAAAAAGAAAAACAAAACAAAACATTGGTAAGTACTCATTAAACCTGTCTTAAAGGCTTTTCAAAACTAATATATTCAGGAGGAAAGAAGAAAAACACAAGCTAGTTCTGGATGCGAACTGTTCAGTGAGGAAATAATTCACCGGACATCAAAATATATATAGTCTGGGCGTATACTTCAGCGGCAGGCACAAGCTTCACATGCAGGTGGCCAGGGCTCAATCCAGCACCATAAATAAATAAACCAATGAATAAATAAAGGACGGAAGGGAGAAATTAATAGTTTCACAAATAGTTTGTGAGATCCTATCTCAAAAATACTCAACACAAAACGGCTTATGCCGTGGCTCAAGTGGGTAGAGAGCCTGCCTAGCAAGTGTGAGGATCTGAGTTCTGGAAAAAGAAAAAAGGGAAATGATTTATTTATTTATTTATTTATTTATTTATTTTTTTGGCGGTACTGGTGTTTGAACTCAGGGCCTACACCTTAAGCCACTCTACCAGCCTTTTTTTCGTGATGGGTATTTTTGAGATAGGGTCCCAAGAGCTATTTGCCTGGGCTGGCATTGAACCACGATCCTCCTCCTGATCTCTGCCTCCTGAGTAGCTAGGATTACAGGAGTGAGCCACCAGCACCTGGCTAAAAGATTTATTTAGAATCCTTCAGCTTGACAAGGTTAATTTTGAAAATTATTCAGCTTTCAAGGATATGAACTGGCGATTCAGGGGACTGTGATTTAAGGGAATTACTCTGCTCTCAAAAGAACTGTTTAATTCTGAAAACAGAAGTACAGTAACTTTGAGGTAAAGAATTAAAAATTCCCTAGCAGGGACTAGAGGTGTGGCTCAAGTGGTACAGTGTTTACTTTGTGAATGCCAGCTTTTCAAGCATGAAGCACCCTGAGTTCAAAACCCTGTCCCATCATGAAAAAAAATAAATAAAATCCCTAGCAGAATACTTTTGATTCAGTGTATCCAAATACCAAGTACCTAATTCCTGTAGGTGTAGATGCTTCATAAGGGAACATTTCCTTAAGGATATCCCTTTCTACTCTTCTTTCCTCTGTTTTTTCTCCCACCTAGTAAAAAACAAAAGAACACAAGTTAACGTTTAGTATAAATGTGCAATAATTAAAGCAATTTTAAATAGAAATCTAGAATAATCTAATCTATGTAGTTTTTAGGATGCTGTTTCTACATTTGTTATCATCTTTCCATGTGCTTTCAAGGCTCTTTTCAAGATTCTTCATTATAAAAATATCTTAATGTAGTTATTAAGGGGAAAATTGCCACATATTTAGAATCCAGTAGTCTAATAAAATATAGCAGTGTAAATTCTTTCACTGATTTTCCATGTTTTTCATTAATGAAACATTAAAATTGTTTCTTCCTGTTATAAATTATAATAAAATAAATGACTAAGTATGGAAGGTGCCTAATTAACATGTGTCCTTTACCAAATATTAGTATATGTTTTAAACTAACAAAAAGCTTGTTTAGCTGTGTATGCTTACATTATATCCAGATCAAAATATTTCATCTTCTTTGATAAAGACTCACTAAAATTATAAAGCACCATGCAGTTAGTAGTTTAAAGCTTAGCTATGTAGGAGTTAGCCAATTCAAGTACCATACAGTCACTTGTAAGTCCCATTATGTGATCTTTTGATAAAAGACAAGTGTAGCTTCCCTCAAAGCCCAAGAGCACTTTTAAAGTTGGATCCATGACAGATTTTATAAGCACCACACAAACGATCCTTTGAAAACTGGAACTTAAGGGAGGTACACAGCAGCCAAGAGGATAGTATTATTAGTATGTCATACTATATTAATTTCCATTTTCACTAATAAAAGTTTGTCTTTAATATATGCATATATGTATGTATACATATCTGTATCTATATCTAGATATTTATAGCTATATACACATACACACACCACCCAATAAAGGAAGCTCTGCTCCCTCCCACTCCAAAAAAAAAAAAAATCTCTTTGAAAGATCAATGACAACATCGATCTAAATTTTGTTCATTTACTTCAGCTCTTGTCAATGGTTTCTTTGGTGTTCTTCTGGGTATGTCTGAGAATTCAGTGATTGGCAGAATAGGAGCTGCATGCTTGAAATTTCCAGTCACCCTATTGACAACCTGCCAAGATTCAAATTATTTAGACTCAGAATTATCCAAACATAACAAAGACACTTAAAAAGGAAAAAGAGATAATCTATTTCTGTAGTATGACTTTCCTTTAATAAAAATTTAGATAAGAGTCTAGAAGCAAACACATTCAGTGCGTCACATGTGAAACCTTATAATTCTTCAAATACTTAGTAAAAGCATCTTTATAATAGTTAGGATTCTTCTGTAATGAATTACATTTATTTGTATAAATTCTAAAATTTAGAACGATATGGGGGAAATCAGTTTAAAATGACAACTTGAGATTTGCCAGAATTCACCACCTCCCCATTTCCAACTAATGGGTTATTTACAAAGAATACAACTTGTATAGTTTATGAAACATATTTACTAAGGATTCGTTGCTTGAAGCCATTATAGTTTCAGCTATAGGAGTACTCTCTGAAATTACTGCACCATCTATACGAAAATGTTGTGAAGTTTCCACCTGTTAGTTTGAAAACAAAACAAAAACAATAAATGTAAAATAATCACTAAAACCCTACCAATCTGAAAACCCAAATTCTGAGCAATAAGCCTTGCATCACCCTTTTCCTTGGAGTTCGTCTCGACCCTCTTGTAGATTCCCTAGTTAATGCCTGTAGAGGTCCGCCTTTTGAAGATCCACTTGTCCATTCAGTCTCAGTTATTCCAGCTTGAGAATAGCTCTATTCAAGTATTGACACATTAAAAAAGTCATATTCTCACATCAAACATCTTAGTAATGGCTACATTAGCACACAGAAGCCAGAAAGTCTCCAAATGCCAGCATTTGCAAATAATGCTGTGTCCTCAAATTATTCCTACATGTATCAACTGGACTGACATGTAAGCATCAGAAAAGAAAGGATGGTAAAATACACTAAAAGGGTCCACCAGTAGTAGCTAACAAATTATAATAAAAGCAAGGAGAGGAGGCACACCAATTATCACTGGTTCCTTTTGTGACCCACTGCTTGCTATTACAGCTGCATTTCTTTGTCTAAACAAAGATTCAGACTGATCATGACTTATATAAGTCATCTATTATCACAGACAATTTCCTTTTAAATAAATAATACAAACTTTTGGTTGGGCATATAGCTCAGTGGCAGAGCACTTTCTTAGCAAGTGTGAGTTCTTGGGTTCAATCCCCAGCACCACAAAACAAAAGACAGAAACAAACTTTTATGAATGTTAGCATAAACAGTATCCTTTTTATGTGGAAGTAGCTAATTTAATTATCTGAACTCAAAAATTCCTAGATGTCAAACTCTTCTGGGAAACAGAATCAAGAGTTAGGTAGCAATAAAAATCTGATGGTCATACTTTCACGAATATGCAATGTCACTGCCAAATTGCAATGGTACCCTAGTCTCACTACAGAAAAGTAGGTACTAATGATAAATGGTTGTTGCCTTTCAGTCGCAGATTACTTTCTCCCTGAAAAAAAAAAAAAAGCAACTGAATTTTCCTCATTTAAAAGCTATTTTAGGGTTGTATGCAGCTCTGTTGGAGAGTCTTGCCCAGGATGTACAAGAAGGCCCTGGGTTCCATCACCAACACAAGAACTAGTTAAAACCCATTAGACAAATGCTTCTTGAGAGCATAACATGCTTAGGTTGTACTTTTGCTTTCAAGCTAATATTTTATCTAGATAACTGATGGTTTTATATCTACCAAATTTAAAGACCTCTTTTTTACTCTCACTCTGTGACAAGAGCAATCATCTACCTAGCAATCATGTGCATTTGGTTGGAAGCACTATTACCAAAACCCACAAAGGCACAGACACAGTCTCTGAGGTTTTAAATTCTGGTGGCACAACATCACCTGGGAGTTTAAAAAAAAATACAAAATGTAGCTAGACATGGGGATACACTCCTATCTCAGGAAGCTGAGACAGTACAATCTCAAATTTAAACCTAGCCTGGGCTACATAGTGAGACCCTGTCCCAAACAAACAAACAAGACCAGGCACAGTGGATCACGCATGTAATCCAACTACTTGGGAAGCTGAGATGAAAAGAATTGAGGTTCAATTTTCTGCTCAGGCAAAAAAAAAGTTAGTGAGACCCCAATTCAATCAATAAGCTAAGATGATGGCGTTTGCCTATTAGCTCAGCTACACGCATGGGAGGATTTAGGTAGGAGGATTATAATCTGAGGCTGGCCCTGGACAAAATTGAAAGACCCTATCTGAAAAATAACCAAGGCTGGGGATGTGGCTCAAGTGATATACAGCACCCACTTAGCAAGTCTAGACCCTGACTTCAAATCCTAGAGTTAGCAGAAAAAAAAAAAGCCCCCGAACACCTGGGCAGGTTTTAGGTTTAGCTCAGTGGGAGAGCAAGTGCTCAGCATCTGCAAAGTGCTGGGTTCAATCCCAGCACAAATAAATAAAAAAGGCCAGGCATAGCTAATTCTTATAGCTCCTTAGAGGATTCTAATGTGCAGCCTGGGTTGAGAATTGGTTCAAGATAATACAATACAATAGACTTATCCATCTCAAAGCCAAGTTGAAACATAAAACTACTTTGAATACTGTTTTTCTTTTTAATAAAAATCTATTGCACAATGCCAGTCAAAATGATGAGCAGTATCTAAAAAAATATTCCAGTTAGTTTATGTGATATTACCAGTGTGTACTCAGTACTTTAAAACTCTTTCAAGAGCCGGGCTCTTGAAACAGGTGGCTCACACCTGTTATCCTAGCTACTCAGGGGGCAGAAATCAGGAGGATCACAGTTTGAAGCCAGCCCGGGCAAATAGTTTGAGAGACCCTATCTGGTAAAAACCTTTCACCAAAAAGGGCTGGTAGAGTGGCTTAAGGTGTAGGCCCTGAGTTCAAATCCCAGTACTGCAAAGAGCAAGACAAAACAAAAAACTCTTCTAAGAATTAAAGAATTATATTAGTTGAAAGGGCTAATAAAGTTATCAGTTGTACAAAAGATAAAATATAAACACCAGATACTTTACCAGCATCCCAGATGAAGGGAAAGGGGGAGAGGAAGGGCAAAGATAGTCTTTTTCCAACTGTATCCTAGGATTCTCTATTTGCTATGTTTTAAATAAATAATTGAAATAATCCATCAGAATTTTAACCAAACCTCTACTGAAACAATTATGGTTAATAATGATAATTTTTTTCAAAAAGGTTTACATTTTAAAGATCCAGTTCAATTAAAGATTCCTTATTTTCTTCTGTGGAAGAAACCCCAAGAATCTCAGTGATTATCTGTGGGGACTAGCCAGGGACACTATAAATTATATATACATGGTTTCTGAGACAGGGTCTTGCTGTGCAGCCCAGGCTGGCCTTAAACTCACCACCCTCCTGCCTACCTTTTCTTCAGAACTAATAAATTCTTTAGTTGAGAACTGCCAACTAATTCTATTAGTTCTTATCATTATCTAATTTATAATGCTCTTCACAGAAATCGAATTGACAACTTGTTACACAATCACAACCCAGTGTGCGCTACTATATCAAGTGATTATAAGAAAATTAAAAATAATAAAATTATAATTCAAAGCTGTAATTATTTACAAGATGGAGCAAACAATTATCGAGAAGAAAAGATTAACTTGGATGTTCTATAGAACACACATTTGTAATTCTAGCCTTGGAAGGCTAAGGTAGAAGGATCTGGGAGTTTGAGGCCGGCCTGGAACATAGTGTATAGGGGACCCTGACCCCTTGAAAGCCCGAATTTATCATGGAGATAAGAAGAAACAACCCTTTTCACACTGCCTTCTGAGTAAACTATCAGGTTAAAAACTAACTCAGAAGACATTAAGGAGTTAAGGCCCATGACAATGTAGAAGCTAGGTTATTATAAATCCCAACCAATAAAAATATAAGCTCTAAACAAAAAATTTAAGCTAGGTTATAAAAAAGAAACAATCAAGCAGGAAATGGTGGTACATGCCTGCAATCCCAGCACTCAGGAGGTGAGGCAGGAGGATCAAGAATTTGAGGCCAGCCTGGGCTATGCAGCAAGAACCTGTCTCAAAATATCCAAAAAGAATAATCAAAATAATTAAAAGCTACATTACCCTAAAGAGCTCACTACCAGCCGAGGTAAAACATAACAAATATGATTCTTCATACTAACTTAAAAAAATCATATTCCTTCAATAGGGAACATAATTTATTATTACTGTTGTGCTGGGGGTACATTGTTACATTTACAAAAGTTCTTACAATTTGTCATAGTTGAATTCACTGCCTCCCATCATTCTCCTTTGTCGCTCTTCCCCCAGGAAACACACTTTTAAACAGTACTGCTGGCAATGCAAAATGCTTCAACTCATGGAGAGAAATGTGGTAATATCTAGAGAAAACTACCTAGCAACTTCACTTATACCCTTCCCCAAGATAAATGACAGAAATATGAAATGCTACCTACAAGCCTGTTCATCTTGGCATAATGTATAACAGCAGGCAAATGAAAACAATTAAGTAGTCAACAAAAGTAAAGTGGCTGAATGAATAATTTACCTGTAACTTTCTACACATAAAATGTAGCTGTATAAAATAATGAGGAAGATGACTACATTCTGATTTCGAATAATATCTAGGATATGTCAGGAAGGAATGTATAAAGTACATGTAGGCTGCCTTTTATGTAAGGGGAAGGAACAAATAGTTTTTTAAAAATGAAATGAAATCACTTGATGCTGGTGGCTCACACCTATAATTCTAGGCCAGCCTGGGTACATAGTACAGAGAGTCTATCTCAAAAATACCCAACACACACAAAAAAGGGCTGGCAGAGTAGCTCAAGGAGTAGAGTGCCTGCCTAACAAGCATGAGGCCCTGAGTTCAAAGCCCCCATACCACTTAAAAAAAAAAAAAAATCAATCCTATTTTAAAAATAAAACAACAAAAAAAACTTAATAGTAAATTAAGCTATGGTCTTAAGACACAAAGAAAAAAAATTGACATCAGGTACAGTATTTTGATTTTATGTCCTCTTTCAGGAGCAAGGAAAGACAAGGGCGAGAGAGGGAAGAAGAGGGAGGGAAACAATAGCTGGAGAGGGAAAGGGAATCTTTTTGGTTGGGGATGTAGCTCAGTGGTAGAGTACTTGTCTAGCATGCATGAGGTCCCGAGACTGCAACTGATCATAAATCTAATATATAAAAATCACAGTATTAAAAAACTTACTAATCACCTTTTGAAATGACTAGGGTGCTTTAACATGAAAATTGGCAAATCAAAGGCAAGAAGCATTTCTCTTGGCTCTCACATGAATTTATTTCAAGGTAACTGAGAAATTCACACGAGAAATTTCCATTTAAAAGAATTCCAGCTACAGATGTAAAGGAATGAGTGGATGAGAAAAATCATAATTTTATACATTCAAATAAAATAACAGATTTAGGCAACAATCAACAGCTGCACTAAATGGACGGGTGATGCAGAACTTTATTTAAGATGGACCAATCTTTCAGCACGCACGTGAATTTGCCCATCAATTTTAGCATAAAAGGAGTCATATGCCTTGTGAAATGATCAATAGGAAGACTACAACATCAATTAGCATTCCAGGTGAGACATTTTTGAGACTGGAAGAATATTAACGTAGATCATACTAGAAAAACAATTACTAGGTGGGACAGTGGCCTTGCCATTTAAATAGCTTTTATCTTTTAGAGATAAATGCCAAAATATTGAGATTGTTAACACATGAAATGACATGTCAGGCATCTGTCTTAATATACTCTAGCACAAGGGAAACCAACAAAATCAAAAGCACTTTAAAAAGCTGGAGGGTGTGGGTGTAGATGAAACTGAAGTGCTCAAACATTGACTACTAGTAAGCATCTGTGACTGAAGGACAATTAAATGCTTCCTTCCACTTTTCTTTAAACTTTCTGTAATAAAGCCATTGTCTAATTCTGCCTGTCACCTCCTAAATCTACACTCTCCTTTGACTATTTATCCTGCCTCTCAGTTTGGATTCCCCAACTTAAAGAATTACCCATTGAAACATCTTAAATACCATCCATCCTTCCTTTTAACCCATTGTTTGGTTAGTCACACACTCTCGCTAGCACTATACCATCTTGCCTTCATATTCTGAACCAAAGTTCTCTAGGCTTGTGTATTTCAATGTCCTTCAGGTTTTCCTGATTACTTTTGCTCTGTCATTTCCTTACTCTTCAGCATGCTCCTCTAGCTCTTTGCTAGCAATATTAAAGACCAATGAAGTATTTACTGTCTGGTATTTGATTTTATAGTAAACAAAACCTTCACTCAATGTCTCCTGCATTCTCCAGTCACCAAGTTCATTTCTAAAAAATAGTTCTACATCAAATGAAGAGGGACATGGCTTAAGAAATAAAAAAGTATCCTTGACGGGATTTTTAAATGACAGAGGACTGGAGATATAGCTCAGTAGTAGAGTACTTGGCTAACATGCACAAGGCCGGGTTTGATCCTTCTAACACACACACACACACACACACACACACACACACACACACACACACGTAAGCATACACGCGAAAAAAGAAAAATGACAGAACAGAGAATAGATAAACCACCAACTAAGTAAAGTTGCTAGCTAATGAATAAGGATAAGGATCGGGAAAGACACTAGGGGCAGCTGTCTTATAGTCAGTCGAAACAATGGTAATTTAGAGCCAATAATTTGTTCTCTGTAAACCAGTTCAGTTCAGTTCAGTTATACCCTAAGCTTATTTTCCAATTAGTTTCCTACATTTTTTTTTTTTGAAAAATTGAATCTTGTTTTACAATAAAAAAGGCAAATTTCCATCCAGAATAAAGAAAGAAAACAATGTAGTCTTAGGACCAGACCAGCTACAACTTGTAGGGAAAGACTACAAAGGACAAGGCAGGTAAAAAAAGTAAAAACAGAGTCTAAAATAAAATCTAGAGACAAAGATACAAAGTATAAAACTATTCCCCTGCTTTTCAAAGAAAAAAAGTGCTCAGACATTTCTGCCTTTCAAATATTTCTCTCAGAAGGCAGTATAGTGGCACAGCACTTGCCTTGCATTGAGGGACCCTGGGTTCAATCCCCTACAAGTGGGGAGAAGTAGGGTAAGAGGGTGGGGTGTGATGACTAGCATGGAACCATGCTCAGCACAGAGTCAAATACAAATGAGACATTCATCAAATACTTGATTTTGCAGTAGACACAGGCGATGCTACTGACAAATCCTATACAATTTAGATTCCTCATGCTACTTAACAATAAAACTATGTTTATTGAGTAAGCTGGAATCTGGATGTAAACTATTACCAAAGGTCAAAACACAAGACAGATGAGTGTTGGTCAGACTACTTGTTCGTGGTGATCATAAAACTAAAGATACCTGATTGTGCTCAATTCTTCTTTGCTTGAGTGTTACTGGAGTCTTTGCTCTGCCCTTTAGTGGTTCTCTCTTCTCAAGCTTGAGTTCTATTTTAGAGTCTGGAAATAACATTGGAGAAACCATTACTTTCTGAAACATATAAACTATCTTTTCCTAATATTACTTTGGAACCCTGGTTTTAGGTACATTAATACATAGAACGTATTTGTCTATTGGTAGTATCTCAATAGACCAAAATTGTTTATTATAATTCATTTCTTAAAACCTTACTTTTTTATTCTCCCACTCTTTAATCTGATTACCACTTTTTCCTATTCTTTCCTTTTTTCAAAAACTAATAAACATTAAAGTGAATTAGATCTGCTCCTATGGAGGCTTTTCACTAAAAAACAATTTCAATGTGGGAAGTTACCATTGTTTTGTCTATGTTATAACAGTGCTAGTATATAGCAAAGTTAGCTTATTAAATTAAAATTTGGTATGTGGAAGAGAAACTTACAGATTTTAAGAGTGAAAAAGCCTGTATGGTATCAAGCCTCTACAAACAATGAATGGTAACTGCCAATGATGTCACTATTAGGTGCATTATAAAAGTCCCTCCTCTACTAGGTGTGTAACCTAGTGGTAGAGTGAATATCTAGCATATGCAAGAACCTGAATTCAATTCCCAGCACCAAAAAATAAGTATGTAAATTCTTTTTTCTTTTTTTATTGTAGTTAACCAAAAGTGTGCATACAGTTGAGGTAAAGAGGAGTTTTGTTCACAGAAAAGCAAATTCATCACAGGACACTTCTTTTTCCCCTTCTTATAATAAAAAAAGAACATTTCTTTGTAAGATAAGCCAGTACTTATACTTGGCTGTCACCATGATAGTCATTAACCCAACAACATATAGACACATATTTTTTTTAAAGAGCTTTGAACATTTCAGTTCTTCCAGCCTTGATTTTATCACCATGTGAAGGCTGAGATATATAAAAACAGTGTCAACTTCCTGCTGGGTGTGGTGTCACACACCTGTAATCCCAGGACCTGGGAGGCTGATGCAGGAAGATCATGAGTTCAAGGCCAGCCTGGACTACACAGTGAGACCCTGTCTCAAAAAACAAAAAAGAAAATTAAATAATTTCCCCACCTTTGTGGCCATTTAACACAGTGTAGCAAAATTAGTATGTCAAGTGTTACTTCTAAAACTTTTACTACTAAAATTTAAGTTAGATTACTATCTTACCAAAGAAACAAAAATGGAGGGCTGGAGACAGGGCTCAAGTGGTACAGAGCTTGCTTAGCATGGTGTGAGGACCTGGGTACAATCCCCAGTACCGCAAAAAATAAAAACAAAAGTAGAATCAAGCTTAGCTTTACATGAACTCAATGTCGTGCTAAAGACTGGTTAAAGGTAGCTATGATATATATCTCTTGTCAACTTTCTAGTCTGACATTAGTTAGTTGAGAATCTGCTTGCAAATTTCCCCTGAAAGTGACTTGTTACCAAATTAGTTCATGGTTCAAATTTTATTTAGGATTAAGCTACCAATTCCATCTCTCAACATGTCTATTAATGGATTTATCAACATGTCTGTTTAATATGACCCTTAGCATTATAAAATCTACCTTTATGCTTTGTTAACTCATAATCTAAGAATTATAAAGCACAAAGTAAAAAACCTATTAGCTGAGCAGAAAGGTATCTGGTTACAGATTAAATTCCTCTAACAAATTTTGATTCCAACAGCCAGTAGAAATGGTTCTCAAATGAAAGAAAAACATACAATAATAAGAATATTTTCACTTATACCACTGGAATGTCAAGTGAGTTTCAATGATGAAATGGGAAAGGAATATTTGTCCACAACTCCAAGAATAAAACACACATACAACATGTTTCTGGAGACCACACAAAGCTGTTCAAATTTAACAACTTTATTGAATTTGTAGAAGCATTCTACAGGAATACATTTTTAAAAATCACACAGCACTTAGTAGGTACATGTACACATGTACATTTCAGAAAACAAATAACAAAATTACTCCCAGAAAGCTGCAAAGATTGAATGTGCAGTCTAAGAACAGGGTAATGGCTAGGTGAGTACTCAAGGGACCATATTTTGTTATGGTTAAGGCTACCATTTTCCACAATGCCTCTATAGTCAGCTCTCCTACCTTACAATCATAGAAATAAAAACAGAGGATAATACATTGCTTTATACAGACACTGGGATAGGGTATGATTTCTTAAGGCTTTTTATAAAATAATAATTTAAATTGCTTTTATCATCTAGATTAAGCCTAATTATCCATGAAATTCAACATACCTTAAAATTCTACACAAAGCCCCATCTTTCTAGTGTCTCATACTTCTGACAAAATAAAGTAATGGTGAGTGAGCATGTATAGCAGTGTTCCTTAAAGTGTGTTCCAGACTGGTGTGATCCATGAATTGTCAGCTACCAGTCCATGAAGAGATGAGGCACCTGCATCAGAATGCACACTTGTATATTGTTTTTGCTGTCAATAGCTTCCTACAAAAATAAATTCTATTTAAATTCTTTCAGTAAAAAGAAAGTTGTTGGGAACTGAACCCAGGGCTTCACATACACTAAGCACATGCTCTTACCATTGAGTTACAGCCCCAGTTCCAAAGATTTAAATTCTTACGCATGTGTATCCTGTTGGTGGGATGAGTAACAGTTTGTGGACTGTTTTGAACTGCAGTGATCAGGAGTATTATGAACAATGTTGCAGACATAAATAAACAACAAAAGTAAGAAAAGAACAAAAGTGTGGACAAGTTGTAGAAAGTGAAAATACATAGAAGTTATAAAAAAAAAAAAAAAAAACCCAAAATAATTGTTTTGAATGTATAATAGTGTTTAACTCTATCCTAGGTATAAAGGAACGTGTATAGTCCTAGTAGGAATAGTAAAGCCTCTGTATTTTAGTTACTACAAGAGTTGTGTGGTATAAATAAAACAGGAAAACTGAACTAGTTATCAGACATATCTTCTATAAAGGTTAAAATTGTTTTACCAAAATATCTGTGCAAATCTGGAAAAAAAAAAAGCAACTCTAAATAGGGAACTACTTGTATATTACAATTTGATGAGTAAAGCATAACATTTTGATACTAGCCCAATCTGGAAACCAAGATCTGAAAAGAAAACTGTCATAAAAGACCTAAAATGCCTAGAAAGATTCCTAAGTTCTCCAATCAAATATAAGACAGATGTCTTTGTTCTGATCTTTATTAGTGCTTATTTCCACGCTTTTTAATTACTTTGTGTACTTCTCCTCCAAATAATGTTCCACCTTTAAAGGGAGCAACAGTCAGCTTATTCTTAGAAGCTGAATTAATTTTACAATCCTTCAACCAGAGAAACCGGCGACCAATAGTGGAAGATCCCATGGTATGGGCAGCCATCTTCACTTCATCAAATGCAGCTTGGCAAACAAATGAGGCTGCATCATATGTTTTGTTTAGAATCTCCAGTGCCTGGTGTGTATGGCTAGGATCTGAGCTCAGAATTTGTGCAGCCTGACTAATGTCTGCCTGCATAGCCTTAACTACAAAGGCAGTGTGGGTTGCAATCTGCAATGCTGATGCTGCAGCTTCATAAGTTCTACAGAGTGCCAAGTCCAAGTGTTTATCACAAGACTCAGTGGAGGATGCCTGAATACCTGCTGGTGGGGTGGCTTCAGAAATAAACCCTAGGATTTCATCATCTACTTTGGGAACTGATAATATCTGTGTTGCCTCTCTGGAAGAAACTGGATACTTGCATGCCAATGAAGGCAGTTGCCTGTCAATTTGCTGCCACTGCTCTTCAATTACTTTTAAAATAGATTCATGGAAGGGAAAAGATAGCTCTGGGGAATCTATTTTATCATGCTGTGATTGTTTAGATATTTCTATGCCTAAGGTAGCAAGTGCGTGAGAGACAACAGATTTGGAAAAAGAAGACATCTGCTCAGATCCAGGTATATTCTGAAATACTACAAAAGAACCTGAATCCCTTTCCTGTACTGACTTCTGACTTAGTCTAGGGACTTTCCGCGGAGGAGACAGGGATTCATTTTCTTGAAAATCAGAATGGCCAATTCTCTTACATATGCTCTCTATATCCAGTGTAGGTGTAGAGTTAGAAGTCCCAGGCAAACTACCTATCCCACCCTGGACTAACAGAGAATTGACATAATCTCTGATTGCCTGAGCAAGTGGTGGAGAAATGACTTGTGATCTCTTTGACTCTTCTAGTATTTCTCTTTCACTGGAGACAATGGATTGATCTGAAATATTAGACCTCTCAGTACATAATGACTGAATTCTACTTTTCCCTCCATGGTAAATATTTTCTACTATGTCTTTAGAGTAAGTAGTAGTGGTTTCTTTAATCAGTGAAGGAGAAGCTGCAGCAGAGACCAACATGGCAGCAAGATCGTGCTGCATCTGTCCCTTGCCAGGCAAGGTTGTGGCAATAACAGGCTCCCTAGGTGGGTCTCCCTTGGAAGTATGTACTTTCTTAGCTGCCTGTAGTTCAGTCCTGCCCAAAGGAGGACGGGTGGAGATTTCAGGAAAAGAAATGCCCTGAAAAAATCCACCAGAGGGAGTAGTTGGAAGTTCAGAAAAAGGAACAAAATCCCTAGTGGACTTCACTTTCTTGTGTTCTTTCTTCTTTCCTGTAGAGGCAAAAGAGGCAGGAAGTATTACTTGTGTTTGAGCGGATTTTATTCTGTGCCTCCTTGCTAAAATAGTGCTGTTGAAGGAAAAGACTATATTTCATATTCTCAGCAACCAATCTGGTAAGACTGTGCCTTGGAAGGCAGTGCTTACAGAGATACAGCAATTTGGGTCAAATTAAATAATCACAAATAACAAGTCATGAATTAAAAGTTTATAAATATTAAATTGAACTTACAATAATTTTCATAAGGAAATTTATTTCATGTACTATTCTTAAAAATATCTAAACTCATGTTTGAATTTTCTTAAAATAGTGTAATATATAAAAATATGGTCAAAATATTTGTTTTAAAGTTGTCATGGAATCAGATTATTTGGCAAAAATTGCAAACAATTTAAATAACTATCAACAGAGAACAGAAAATATGCCATATTCAAATGCTGCCACCATATATTCATTACAAGGAACGGATAATAGACACATAAGTAATAGTAAGGTTAGATCTAAAAAAAATACAATACGGAATTTAAAAAGCAAGCACCCCACTTGTATAGGATTTTTTAAAAGTACAAAACAATAAGATATATTAAATGAATATGTATAAAAATGAATTAGAAAGACAAGCATCAAGTTAATGGTCGCTTCTGTGGAGGTGGTGATAGGAGAAAGACAAATGAAAGAAACTTTGCCATTGCAAAAATGAGATTTGAAGCAAAAATGTAGTTAACTGGCAATTTTAGGTGACAGTAAATTAGACATTTGTATTTTGTTATTTCTGAGAATTCTCAGCAAAAAGTAATGAAATTAAATTACTTAGGAAGATTAATGTAATGATATGAACAAAAATTACATATATCTTGCCAATATTGCTTTAAAGTTTACTTTCTTCATGGTCACTGTATCCTATAACTCTGAAAAAAGGTTATATATATTTGATTAACATCATTTAAAATTTTACCTTCTTCATTGTCACTGTATCTGTCAGAGTCATTACTTCCATTTTGCCTTGTATTTTCTGCTGAAGAAGAAATTGTTGGTAGAGGGGTAGAAGATCTTGATTCCGTTCCTTGTTCCCTCAGTTTTAACAGCTTTTTCTCATATAGCTTCCTGGTTGTTCCTGTATTAAGGCAAAATTTACTCAAGTACTTGTGCAAAACTATCTAAAGTGACATTATTAGCTCACTTTCATCCTATCCTTTTTTAAACTTCAGTGTTTAAAATAATGTACTATTGGGCTTTTGTATATTTTCTTCTTGGCTACATGAAAGTATATGTCAATGTACAAAAAATTTTTATAAACCAAAAGAAAAACTGTAATTATACCCCACAACACTGAGATATAAATATGCCTATAGAGTAGCCATTCTATTATGGGGACAAAGTTCTATAAATCATATTTAAATGGCTTTTATCTTCTGCTTTATGGTAGCTGTTAAGTAAAATGACAAAGGACATCATCTTTCACAAACAACACATATCCAGCATTGTTATATAAATAGTCTTAAGATGAACAGTTGGTACACTGACATGTAATTTACTGTATACTGACAAAACATACATTTTTCAGTGTCTCCATTTTAGAATTAAAAATTTAAAGAAGGTATTAAATGTCTGTTGGTAATTATATTCATAGGCTTATTTATCTGGAAATTGTGTATAAACTAAAACATTCTGACTTTCTGTTTGCAACTGTACTTATAACAAAACCCACCAAATCACCAATGTTCAATGTCTTACGCAACTTAAAAAGAGTATCAAAATGGATATTTCTCTTGAGGTTATTGCCAAAATCTTCCAAAACAAAGGCACAATCAACCTTGCAAAATTATCGTCACCTAAAAGTAACCCAGTATTCCTAGTCTATTTAGTGAAATCCAGTGTCTTTAGTTCTAAGTTCTCTCTTTTTAGTGCGTTCTTTGTGGCATTATTCTCATACTTCAATCAAGACAGGACTTTTTAAAAGGTACTATTAATGCTAACTTGTTGTTAGGATCTGAGTATCTTGAGTTTTATTAATCCGTCTCTCTAAGTTACTGATTTGGATGAGTTGGCCATTTATGTTAGCTCAGATTTTCTTCAATTGCCATACAAGACCCATGTAGTTTCACCAGATGGGAAATGAGAACCATACATAACATTCTCAACAACAGATAATTTAGAGATTACTCAATTCAATTCTTTCATTTTATCTTCCTTAATCTGAGTAAAGGAAACTAAAGTCTTGACTGGTCATATAAATGGTTAATGGTAGACAGAAGAGGAGAAAATAATTTGGGGCCTTGCTTCATAGAAAAGATATTTGAAATTTTATCAGCTTACCCACAATAGGACCAGGATTCACTCCATATTTCACAAGCTGATCCAGAAGGTCTTCATTAGAGAGCTCTGTTACATCAAGATCATCTTTATCTTCTAGTCTGGGTTTATCAGTTTTCTTTGTAGCTTTCTGTAAACAAAGTTCAGTTATCATCTCCACACAAAGTGTTTATTTACTAAGCGGATGATACTCTGTACACAATAAACACATAAATACATCTACAAGTTGATTTATAGTTACATTATGCCAGAGCAATTTGATTAAATTAAAAGCAACTCATTATTTGAAGGCATTATTTTAAAACTGAACTGTACTTAGACTGTACAAACCTAATACCTACATAAGTAAGTTAATTGTTAAAGACATTATATACTGTTCAACAGCCAATTTTGCATTACTTCTGTATAAACAAAGTAATGGCATCAAAAAATTCAAAAGCATATAAAAACAAAGTAAAAACTAACTGACTTTTGCTGTTGGAGTGGCTCAAGAGGTAGACCACCTACCTACTAAGTGTGAGGTCCTGAGTTCAAACTCCACACTGTCAAAAAAAAAAAAAACAACAAACAACCCAAACCCGAACAAAAAACTGACTTTGGATGACATTTACATTACATATCTAACAATGGACCTTATGCTTATTTTCTTTTAAATAACCAAAATTTATACTACATTTTTAAAAACATGTAACTCCTGATGACAAAGGAGACAGATCAACAGGTAATTTGCAAACTGAAGCTAGACTGGGTTTACACATTTTCATGCCAATGATCATAAACAGTTTAAACCAATCCAGGAAAGTTTAAAGCGTTCCACAAAGGTTTTTATACTTATATATAAAAATTATTTCCCTTAACAGTATGTCAGGATTTAAGAGGCCCAAATAATTATTCTCCTTATAGTTTAGTTATTTTAGTAGCCAGCTCATGACCTATGAAAGAAGTCTCACAGATGCCACAGTTATGTATCAACTCTGACATAGTTTATTCACCAGAGGAAAACATCAAAAGAAGATTAGTATTCATCAGAAAGATGACATATGTATTTCCAATTAGCCTTACAAATGTCTCAGTAATCCCAGAAAGCAGAGCACTGAACAAAAACCAGTTGTTTAAATAATGGCCACAAACATCAATCAAAGTCCATTCAGGCCCAAATTACTATTTAAGACAGGAAAGTCAATACTGCACCCTAGAAATGCTTTTATGAAAAATGGCTAAAATTATAAATCTGTACGAATTATTTCCAATTAACTCTGGGGGAAGAAATCAGTCATTATTCGACCATAAATTAACTTCTAAGTCTTTAACAAATAAAAATTTGAAATAGGGGTTTGGGATATAGCTCAGGGGTTGAATAACTTGCAAAGCAAGACCCTGGGTTTGATCCAAAGCACAGAAAAAAAGAGGAAGGGAGAAGAGGGAAGGAAGGGTTTATGATAAAAAACCAACAGAACACCCAGAATTCCAACTTGTGTTTTTGGGGGTGTGAGGGAGGATTTGAACGCAGGGCTTCACACTTGCTAGAAGGTGCTCACCACTATGCCACTCCACTAGCCCTCTTTTGGGTTGGTCATTTTCGAGATAGGGTCTTGGAAGCTATTTGCCCAAGCTGGCTTCAAACGGAGATCCTCCTGGTCTCTGCCTCCTGAGTAGCTAGGATTACAGGCATGAGAAACCAGGCCTGGCTCAGAAATTCCAGCTTCTTGCAACACTTATCCTTTTCGGAAGTTTTCAAGAAATCTTTCTTTAGCATTCATAATATCTTACCTACTTTTTATTAATAATTTGTACACATGCTTTATTTTCTCTAAATCAAGCCACCCACACATACCAAAGAAAAGAAAAGAAAAGAGAAGAAAAGACAGGCCTACCAAATCAAAGTAGGAAACCCTGGAAATAATGTTTAAACAGAACTTATGATCACTTCCACATACTAATCCTTTTCTGAAAACTATTACAGTAACTTTGCATTCTATTGCCCTGGCATTAAATAGGGACAAAAATTCACTTTACTTATGCATTACCCCGTAATCAATCCTCAATCTAATTAAATAATTTCTATAGTCCAGGTGAAAATGAAGACCTGAAAGGCAATCAATGTTCACTGTTCAAGGTCTTCGGAATAAGTACCAAACTTGGAATTTGAATCTACAAGTCTCTGATTCAGAAGTTGTATGCTTGTGATTTAATTAACACTTCCCATCACTAACATACTTTTTATTTTTTGTTGAAAGTCCTTAAACATTTCCCGTTAAGAATTCATAATCACAAGAAAAAAGAAGAAAAACAAAAACAAAAAACCACCACGAATTTATAATCAGGGCTGGGGTTGTAGTTCAAGGTGGAGCACTTGCCTAGCATGCACAGGACCCAAGGTTCAATATGCAAGCCCACACACAAATTCATAATCCACCTGACTAGATCATTCAAGAATGATCTATGCTTTCCTAGATGTCAAATAGCTACACCTTCCTGCTTTGCACCTTGGAACGAAAAGGAAGATCGCCAAGTCTGTAAATGTTTATTCGTGTGTCCACAATCTAGATAATTCCAACACCTAGACACTGGCATCAAGACACATAAAGTAAAAAATTTAAAAATAAGAAAACAAAACCAAAATAAAGTTTAACACACAAAATTTCCCTATACCATACCAAGCGAATCTAGTTAATATTCCTTTCTCAGGCACTAGTGGCTCTCGCCTATAATCCTAGCTACATTGGAGGCTGAGAACAAGAAGATCAAAGTTAGAGGCCAGTCTGTATAAGAAGTTTGAGAGATTTCCCCGTCCAAAAATAACCAGAACAAAATGGGCTGGAGCAGTAGAATGCATGCTTTGCAAGCATGAAGCCCTAAATTCAAACTCAGTCCCATCACCCCCCCACCCTCAACAACAGTAAAAAATATTCCTTAAGGATGAGTTGGTGGCTCACACCTCTAATCCTGCACTGGGCTGAGGTGGGAGGGTAGTAGAGTCTGAGGCTAACTTGGGCTACACAGCTAGTTCAAGGCCAGTCTGGGCCTTTGAACCAAAACAAAACAAAAGGTAGACCCCAATCAAAAACCCATGATTCAATAGAAGGTACATGCTACACTATGCAAATGTTTAATTATTTAATTTTGGCCAAATCCACATTAACATTTTACTTTTTTCAAAATGCTAAAAATTGGGCTAGAGGAGTGGCTCAAGTGGTAGAGTGCCTACTTAGCAAGCATGTGGCCCCTTAGTACTATAAAAACAAAAAGCTAAAAATTCACCTCTTAAAAATCTGCCATACCAGACAGGTACCAGCGCTCGAGCCTGTAATCCTACCTATTTGGCAGTATGAAATTGGGAGGATGGCAGTTTGAGGCCAGCTTGGGCAGACAGTTCAAGAGACACCATCTCCAAAATAATCAGAGCAAAATGGACTGGAGGTGTGCAAGCAGTTAGAGCATCTGCTTTGCAAGAGTGAAGCTGAGTTCAAACTCCAATCCCACCAAAAATAAATTTTAAAAATCTGCCATATCCCAGCATAGCAGAAATAAATAAATACATAAACAATTCTGCTATATCTGCACCTCTCAAACACAATTTGGTTTTCTCCTAAACTGTAAATACTGCTTAATAAGAATGACCTTGTATTATCATACATGGTGCATTTTAAAAATGACTAAAACATATAGTACATATGAAAGGAATGTGGCATACAGAATTACATACCAATCAATGCTCTACAGTTCTTTCCTTGTAAATTCAAGGCATCTTTTCCTATGCCTGATTTTAAGAAATGTTGATTCGGACTCCTAATTTTTAACTCACTTTTACCTTATGTACTTTAAAACAGAAAATGACACTACCAACTGACTACCAATATTAACTTTTTCAAGTCATTGAAGTCACTGAGCCCAGCGTAGGTTATATATTTTTAAGTTCTACTTAAGGTGAAGAATACAAAGATCTGTGATAATGAAATAATTTTCTATATGGGTCAAAACATTAAAGGAAGCCGATAGTGCCAGCTAAAGTGTTTGGTGTGGGTGGGTAGGGAGCAAGAGAAGAAGTGGGAGAGAGGGAGAGTCAGTAAGCTTAGCATGCCTTTGTAAGCAGTAGCTAGCAGTTGGACATAGACACTGTTGTTGCTGGTGGTGCTCAACCAGAACTGGAGCATTCTAAGCAGTGCTCTACCACTGAGCTACACTCTGACAAAATGTTAATTTCTTTCACCCAAAACTGAGTTGAGATGCGATATGAGTAAATAGCGGTTTTTTAAAATCCAAGAAATTAAGCTATTATGATAAGTGAGGTCTGCAGAAAGCAATCTTCAGTAGTTGTGAGCACACATTAGGAACTCAAAAAATGAGGGATAATCAAACTGAGATTTATTTTTTACATACAACCAAAAACTTTATACTTTAATGGATTTGGACTGAAGACCAATATGAAATTCTATAGAACTGCATTTTTAAAAGTGTACTGACTGACATGGGAAACGCTTCATCACTTCATTTTCAACCTCATCTGTACTGAAAATTTGAATACTACCTTCGTTTTTAAGAGTCTGTAGAAGAAAACTGGTATGTAATACACTTTACAGCGAAAGGACTTTTTTGTTTAAAGTGGCTTTCTGTAAACCCACACAAAGGAGAAGTCAGAAACAAAGTGTGGCCAGTCTTTTATTTACTCAACAATTATTTATTAGACCCTACTATGTGCCAGGCACAGACGTAAGACATTAATAAGGTTTTCAACTTCTCTGAAGCCCAGGCTAAGATTTTTTCAATTAAATTTACACACGTTTATTTCATTTCCAGCTGGGTACTCAGGAAAGTAAGTTAGATTTTAAAAAATTAAACAACAGAGAATGTTGTAAACTTTCAAATAAGTAGTTGGACGGGGAGATAGAACAGTGGTAGAGGGCATGCTTAGCAAAAATGAGAACTTGGGTTCAATTCCCGGCACCAAAAAAAACCCAACCCCCTCCCCACCTTTTATACCAATAATCAGTACAGCAACTCCAATCACCACGTTCATTTTCACAAAAGCATTTTAAGTTATACCAACCAATAGTTTTAACTATATTCTAGGAAGTCTGGCAGCTAAGTACATGCAAACCAACAAAGAAGCACTTTAAATTTACAGAAAGCAAACAAAAAAACAAACTAGTATAAGTATTTGCCGGAGACAATCTGAGATTCAACCAGGATCCGACATTTCAAACACTGACACATTGTAATACTGATACATCAGAAGGTCAAAACATATTTGATGCCGAATCTTTCCCTCCTCAAGCAAAATTAGGCGAAAACAAAACACCAACCACCAACCCAAACTCTTACTAAGATTTTCAAATGCGTCTCCAAGCACTTTAAAATGTCCATTTAAACTAGGAACAAAGACGGTTCAAAAAGCCTTCCATAATGCCGAAACATGAAAAAAAAAAAAAAAAAAAAGGCGGGAATTTCTTTATTTCAAAATTTGGTTAGAGAAATCACTATGTCGCAAATTGCCCTCCAGGGAGCGCTCTGAGACTCTGCTGCGAGTCGTTTCGGTTATTAAAGCGGGAAAAATGCTCCAACTTAACCTATAGCGTTTTAGGGCTGATGCTCCCGAGGCTTTTGAAAAGGCGACAAGTCTCGACGGGGACTCGGGGCGGTGCGGGGACGCGAGCCGCCCGCGCGCAAACCCGCAAAGCGCTAACCCTCGCCCGATGCCTCCCGACGCCCCACGTCCCGGGGCGCCAGTCCGCGCGTCCAACTCCCCGCACCCGGATCCCGCACCCCGGGGGGCTGGGGCGCTTCGGGACAGGGCTCAGGGACAGTCCCGCCGCCCGGAGGGGGGTGGGCAGGGGAGGGGGCGTCGGGGGCGAGCGCGCGCGACAGCCGCCAAGTGCCCGCCTTTGTGGCCCGGGCCGGGCGTCCTTACCCTGCCGACGGCGGCGCGGCCGCGGCCCGCGGCGGTCCCGGCGCCGAGCACCGGCGTGGGCTCGCGCTCCTCGTCGCTGGAGAAGTCCGGGGGCCCTTTGCTGTTGACGCCGGCGGAGAGCGACGGCCGGTTGCGCGTCGTCAGATGCTGCAGGTAGAGCTGCACGTACACGTCTTTGCGCTGCTCCCCGGCCGGGAGCGTCACATTGTTGGCGACCAACTCACTCTTCAACTTGTCTTTGGTCAGGACCGAGGGGTCTTCCAGGAACTCCGGCATCTCGGGATCGGCGACTCCGCAGCCCCGCAAAACCGTCAACAGCGCCGCCGCTCTCGTTCCCCTGGCCGGGGCCGCGCTGACGCCTCCGATCCTCAGGGGCGGCCGTCCAGGAGGAACGCCACGGGGCAGAGCTGCGAGTGGCGGACACAAAAGCCAGGCCAGACCCCGCACAAAAGCCCCGTGGACTCAACTACCCACCAAGTGCGGCCAAGCTGGGAGCCCGCAGCAAGCCTAGCCCACACACAGGCAGCGGGCGAGCAGCCTGCTTCGCCCACGCCCCAAGAACGCGCGCCACCATTGGCGGGCGGCGGGAGGAAGCGCGCCGGTGATTGGCAGGACGGCGCGCGCGGGCTCCCCCAGCCGCGGCGCCCAGCGAGAGGTGGTAGACACGCAGTTTAAAAGCCGCTCGGGCGGGAGCGCAGGCGTCGGGCCCGTTTCTGTTTCCCTCTTCCCCACCCTTCCCTCCCGACGCCCCTAAGGGGACCGGTCGTGCTGCTTTTGTGCGCCGTTTCCGCTCCCTCCCTGTACTGGACGAGACGCTTTCCACCCTGGGGTCCGTCACCTACGAACGAACGAACCGAGTTGTGAGGACCCTTAGCTGGGCCTTCCTCCCTCGCAGGACGCGGGTCCACCGAAGAATGGCCGCAGTCCATTCCCCCGAAGACCCGAGGCCAGGCGTGCTGTAGGCGCTCGTGGATTGACTTCGGGGGAGGAGAGGGGCGCGCGAGGAGTCGACGCCCCAGTGCTCGCCAGCTCTTCTTTTGTTCCTGCAGTTCAGGAGAAGCCGGACCCCTACTCCTGAGCACTTTAAAATGCCCTTGAATCCGAGACGAAATTGCATTCTTAAAGCCCCCACTCGCTTCTTATCTTGAAGGTTGGGGCGTCTCTAAATTGTGTCAGTCAACATTTACTAGGGGGCTTAAGACAGATCCGTGCATTGCATTTTTCCGTCTCCCCCTTAAGTACCTTACCAAAACTTAATCGAACCTAGTTAGTGTAACTAAATGAAACGCGATGTTTAGGAACGCCGTAATGGTCAACTTCATGAAAGTGAGAAGGTGCATACCAGATTTTTTAATTTTAGAGGAAGCCTGGTGGCATAGAGTTAGGCCGGGAAACCCAACTCAAACTCACTATACTGATTCAAATTAGAACTCGGCGACGTCTCAGAAATGTACGATTAGAATAAATGTCTTACTGAAAATACAGTACTAATGACAAATGTCTGTCACCAATAAGAATATATACATAGATTGTGTTGGAGAATATGCGTGTATGAAAATATTACAACGAAGCCCATTACTTGGTACAATTAATGTATACTAGTAAAATCCAAACACTTATACATATGGATACATATGTTTCAAAACGCTTTCTTTCTAGAAAAGGAAGACTCAGACTGGGATTCAGAGTGTCAATCATTTCCCCAGATTCTGAGCTCCAAATTATGCTTTATAAACAGCTTTAAATTAGGGGGGGAAAAAAAAGTTTACCTGATTGCTACTTAATTCAGTTGGAATAACTTTAAAAGAAATGCCTTCACTAAAAATGTTTCCTACAGGTTTTAAGAAATATGCTTTTAATGATAGACTTTTTTCTAGAGACTTATTGCATTAATTCCCTTCTAAAAATCTCGGTATTCACATATATTTAAGCAACATTTTTTTCTGTTCTTTTATTTTTAGGCAACATTAAGCTCAGTAATGCAAATTTAAAACTTTTAATTAGCAAGTTGTTTTGTAGTTTTATGGTGTCTTGTGAAAGTTACTTTTTTTTTTCATCACAGCTTCCTTGGGTAGTTGGACAAGTGTTTTTATCTCCTCTTCAGAAGAGGAACTAAGCTGAGAGGCATAGACTATGATTTCGCAGTGACCGCAAACCCCAGCAAATGTCATTCATGTCAGATCATGCAATGTGCCTTATTTTTCCACTATAGTGGAAAACCTGAGATTTATCTTTACAAAGCCACAGTCAGTGGGTCTACTTTGCCATCTTTGAATTAGCTAATTATCCTATTAAATAGCTAGTTGAATTTGGCTGTAGCCCCACTGTACTAAGTTTTTAAGACATGAGTTTTGCTGTTCTGACTGAAATGGTTCACAGTCACCAGACTAGATTTCGGGACTGGCAGGTTGTGTAGGCACTGACAGCTGACGTACTGTCCACGTACTGGATCTTCAGAGGAGGAGGTATCATGGGTATGTAAGGATATCATTTAGCCTAAGTTTGATGTGAGTAGAATACTATGAGAGCTTCTTGAAGATACTGCATTGGAACTCTTTTTGTTTTTATTTTGTTTTCTTTAGGTTTTTTGTTTGGTGGTGGTAGTAGGATTTGAACTCAGGACCTTGGGCTTGCTAGGGCAGGTGCTCTATGACTTGAGCTGCATCAGCCCTCTGTAAGGCTTTTGCACCAAAAATTTTTCAGGAAATGTAATCCTTAGAGACAATAACTCATCCTGTTTTTTCCCTACAATTAAAGAATCATTTTATTTTGAGGGGCTGGGGATATAGATCAGTCAATGGTTGAGCACTTACTTAGCATGTGCAAGGCTGTGGGTAGGGGTGTGTGTGTGTGTGTGAATTCACCTGTTGAGTCTGAAAATGTTTTAAATAGACATAGTAATATGCCATACAGACTAACATTCAAGACATGATTCACAAAGAACTATTCTAGATGCCTGAAATTAACATTCCATGAGCAAAAACATTTTCATTCTCTCTTTTGGGGGGAGGGGGCAGTACTGGTGTTTGAACTCAGGGCCTTGTGCTTATTAATAAGGTAAACATTCTGTCAATTTAGCCACTCCACTAGTCCTTTTTGCTTTTTAGGTCATTTTTTAGATAGGTTATCTGGTTTTTGTCTGTGCCAGCCTGTACCACCATCCAACTATGGGAGAGAGGGTTTTGCTAACTTTTTGCCAGGACTGGCTTCAAACTGCAACTACTACCCTCCCTATCGCTACCTTCCAAGTAGCTGGGGTTACAGTGGTGTGCCACCATGCCAGCCTGAATGATCTCTTTTTCTTGTCCCTGGACACTATCAACAGGAGGTGTTTTGCAGAACACAGGGTTGATGTCATATACTATCAGAAACTGAGGTTGCCTTTCTACATTTTTCTCATCAAATTATGAGTTATTAAATTCAGACTTGGAATCCTATTTTTAGTGATGAAGGTAGGTAACTTTTTCCTTTTTTGTATAAAATAACTTTCATTTATATAATCTGCTTTCTTTAGAACAAAAAAGTTTACAAATGAAAGATACTGTTTCTTTCAAAAACTTTTTCAAGCGAGATACTATATATGCTCATTTCTACTTAAAATAATGTGGAGAACAGTGCATATTAATATTTCCATCAGTGCAGTAATCATTTATCAACAATTAGACTTTTAAGCCATCTGTTGGTCACTTGCTAGACGTAAGTGTTCAGGAAGAAATGTCAAGAAAAGATAAAGACCTTTAATCACACTCTCTCTCTCTTTTTTTTTTTTTTTGGTGGTACTAGGGTTTGAACTCAGGGCCTCACACTTGCTAGGCAGGCACTCCGCTTTGCCAGTCCTAATCACATCTCTTTAAAGATTTTTTTTTAATGGTTTTTTCTTTTTGTGGTACAGGTGTTTGGACTCATGGCGTACACATTGAGCCACTCCACCAGCCCTTTTTTGTGATGGGTTTTTTTGAGATAGGGTCTCTCAAACTATTTGCCCAGGCTGGTTTTGAACCGGGATCCTCTTGATCTCTGCCTTCTGAGCAGCTAGGACTATAGGTGTGAGACACCAGCAGGCAGCTCTTTAAAGGTTTTTAAAGTAAATTCTTGGCAATATCTTTCTTACACCACTCAGACATAACATAGCTATTTCTGCCTTATAAGGGAAATGCACTGATTAAGTTTCTTTCTAAGACCAAGGATATAATAGTAGGAAAATGTGTTGACTGCCATAATTCTCTATACGGTGAATGACCCCGTATTCTTTATACAGTAAGAAATAGCTTTCAAAAAATTGGTTTACCAAAGATGAACAAGAGATATATGTTAACAAAGTTAAGAAATAAACACTATACAGGGATAAATAATGGTTTAGTCATGGCAATCTAACATAACATCCCAACTAACACTAACAGAAAGAAAACTTTCCAGAATATGATTTTTTTTCAATTACAAAAACAGGGTATTAAGTTAGTCATGTACTGGAGGCATGGCTCAAGTGGTAGAGCGCCCACCTAGTAATGTGACTTACTACCGTGATTTTTGTGACATTACTTCAAATGGAATAAACGTATACATACTTAGATAATTTTCACTCAGATGTATAGCTTTTCCTTCATAACAAAAAAATTCACCTGTAAATTTCACTGTTAGGCAATGAAGAAGAAATGCTCAAATTGCAAGTTTCAGTAAGTTAGCATCACTGTTGTACTTCACAAGCCATATCCTCTTTCACTGAGGAACTGGAAAACCGGCCACCATTTTTTTAACATACAAACACTAAAATTATCTAGAGTTTAAAATATTTTCCCAGTTGAAATACTGATCATTTCATAATGCTAATTTCTGCTTTCAGTTCAGATGTACAATTCCAAAGTAGGACCATGTTCTATGGATCTGAAGGCCAAGAGGTCAGCCTACTGAGTTTGTTCCTCATTGCCAATTCCAAATTTCTTTCTTCCTTCAAAAACATTTGAAATTCATGTCATTTGGCTAAATCACCCTCTACTATCTTTGCAGCTGTCATTTACCAACCTCCTGGGCACTGTTCTTCAGAAATTAAATGAACATTTCCTCCCTCCCCCGACTCCCTGCCCTGAAACGGGATCTTGTTATGTTGACCCAGAGTCGTCTCCAATTTGTGGGCTCAAGGGATCCTCCCCAGCTGAGTAGCTGGGGCTCCTTCAGAAATTATAGAGCTTCTTACTCTAGGTTTTCCTCACCATCCTTCTTTTTGCTGGGTTGGAACTCAGCTTTGCACCTGCTAGGCAGGGGCTCTATCACTTAAGCCACGCCTTCAGCCCTCACAATTCTTCTTGTCCACATTCTATGTGACCTCAGCATTCTTGTAGGTGATCTGAGCAACACTTAGCCTCTTAGATTCTTGACTTGTCATCAATAATCGCTTTACCTTCTAATTCTCAATTTCAAAGATCCCAATTGTCAAGTGGTAGCCTTTTTCCCCCTGGCTAATTTATTATACTTTCTCTTATCTATTTAAGACTACTACCTCAACTGGTTATGGTGATTCATGCCTGAAATCCCAGCATTCAGGA